TTTCTCCAAGAAAAACAATAAAAGAATTAACTGGAAAATCTCTTAGCGTTTTTCAATCATCTGAAACTTGTGAAAATACGAAAATTCTCGTAGCAGCAATTATTATTATTTTACTCGAAACTAAATTCATAGCTTTACAATCTATGTGGATACAAACTGTCGAAAAAGCACGTCAAAGTTTAATTTATTATTTCAATAACAATTGGCAAAAATTAATAGTTTTATTTCGAAATATTCGAATGATACTAACTAAATAAATATTTTTATTTTTGTATTGTATTATATTGTTATACTATTTTTGTTCACAAAATAAACCTGACAAGACATAACCAAAAATTGTTGCCATATGTTTTGATTACTATTTATTTTTAGCAAATATTGATACAAAATAAGAAAATTTGTGTTAAGTTGTTTTTCTCTAAAAATAACTTTACACAAGTATGTCGATTATATAAAGTCAAATATATAAGTATTTTTCCATTCAAGGATAATCTAAACTTATTTGAAATTTCCGATAGGAGATTATTGGTTGAATTAAACTGTTTACTGTGTTGTCTATAGTTATCTTTTATTCTTTTTGATAGGACGGTGATATACTATAACCTTGACTACGGCAAGTGACAGAAAAAAGAGAGGAAGCAAGCAGAGAACATGCGAGTAATTGGGATTTCTGTCGTTTTCTCTCATTTTTTTTTCAAGGTCCTTCCAAGCATGACACAACACGTAGTGTTGTTCTTTGTCTGTATGTCTGCTAGCATCGACAACGAACATAGAGGAAAACAGAACACTGGAAGAAAGAAAATGGTGCCTAGATTTCCAGGCATCTCAACGATAGATGAGGATGATGATGATGAAGATGATGATTGTTGTTGTTTACTGTTGGAGGTCATCTTTTTTTCCTCTTTCTCTCTCTCTCTCTCTCTCTCTCTCTCTTATTTTCTTCTTCATTTCTTGACATGTTATCGACAATAAACGAACGATGAACACTCTTAAACTCTTTAAGAATGATCACTTATTATATATGTATATGTTTCATTTTTTCTAATTCAAGGATATATTAACAATAAATCGAGATGGTTTAAATTTTTTGTATGAATTATATTTATAATTGATTGATTATGTTGAGATATAGTTGACAAAATAATGATATATAAAGGTAAAGTTTGTAAAATAGTTATTATATATACATAAATAAAATTGAGAAAATATTACAGACGATTTTTCTTTCAATCTATCTTTTTTTTGTAGTTAGTTAGTTATATACAGATGCAAGTAAAGAAAAGAAAGAAAGTAACAAGTGAAAAATAGAGAATCCTTCAAGAAATCCAGGGTTCTGTTTCTAGCGAAAGACTTTGTGTTACTTATGTATGTTTCTTGTTGAGTAGCGTACTCATGAGGCAAGATACAGAAAAGCATGAGAAGGAAAAAAAACCGAGTGGGAAAGGAAGAAAGAAAGGAGCAAGCATCGATCCCTGTATGTGCGTGTGTGTGTGCCTGCACAGCAGCGAGAAATAAAACACCGTGGTGTTACCAAAACAGCAGAGGCGCTGTCGCTCTAGTGTAAGAGCGAGAATGAAGATGTTCTTCATACTGACATTGTCATCATCATTAATATTTTGGCACAATGACTAGACTTTTGTCTCTCGCTGGTTCATCAATCCGTGATCTGTTATTATTATTGTCCATTTATTTTTCATAATAACTAACGTATATCCTATCGTCATTTTTCCTATAGTCAATATTATATTGTGGTATGTTCTTGTTTTCTTTTTCTTTTTTAATGCTCTCGACATCGAGCGGATTGTTTTATATACTCGATACTTTTTATTCATCAATCCTAGAGATATATACATTCTAATGTTCTGTCTTTAGTTTAATAATAGACAGTAAATCCTTATCATATCAAATTCATAACAGTATATAAGGTAGATATTATATAAAGATTTCATGTCTGGTTATTACTTATTTTGTTATTGGTGTTATGTATGTTACTATAAATTGTTATCGAGGTTCTCATATATCTGCATTCCCCAGGTGTGCATATATATATATATGTGTGTGTGTGTACATGTCTTTCATATTCATCTATTTTTTTGACAATGCAAATAAACATGACATAATGGTTAAGATAGAATAAAACTCATCGTCTACAAATGAGAACAGATCACTTGTTACATTATAACACGTATGTTCCTTCACTTTATCTTTCTCTCTATATATAGATTATGATGTATTTTATTTTAATATTGAAGGTCTTTCTGTCTTTTGTAAAAAAATAAGAGTACTATTGCTCTTTTTCGTTTAATTATTAACGTTTATTTCAGTTTTATATAAATTTAATAATTAAAAGATAGAGATTATATTATAATCTTAGTTCCTTATTTAATCTACAAATGAGATTTATGAAATAGTTTAGATAAACTTTTTTTTATTTTAATAGAAAGATAACGACGTCAGAAAAATATTAATTATTTGAATTGAAAATGTTTTATTTATTTGTTAAGTGAGACTTTTGAGTTTATTGAAAAAAAGTCAAGAAAATTTGTTATGAAAAACTGAATATTTTATATGAAGTAACAATAAAAGTCAGGAACCGCAATAATAAAATAAATTATTCTTTTGATACATTTCATTATCATTATTTGACACTCTTTGACGATAAAAAAAAACATAAATATAAAAGCGTATACGTGAAACAATCATTTATCCTTTTAATTGTTGAATTTTTGTTGATGAAATTCTTCCTTGTCGTCCGAGTGTCATAGATGTATAGATACGTTGAGCTTCTTGTCTTTCTTCTAGTGATACTTGTCGATCATCAAGCATGATCAAACATGGCAGCTGACTGATCACATAGTATCTATAGTCAACATATTCTTTAGGAGAACCACCATTGAAATAACTCGGTGCCGCTGTATTCTTCATCATACTTAAATATTTCAATTGAGGACAATAAGTAGCTAATGTTTTTATAAATACACTTAAATTTGTTATTTGATTATGATTAATCCATAGAGTATGTAATTTATCTAGATGAGGTATTTTTACATGTGAATTTATTTGATTTTTATCAACAATTAATGTTTGTAGATTAGAAAAATCGATAAGAAATCGAAGATCATCCAAATTATTTTCAGTTAGATCAAGATATTCGATAATAGATTTATCATATGGTAATAATTGATCAGGTATTGAATCGAGACCTTGATAGGCAAATGATAATTTCTTTTTTGCTTCATCACTAATTATTTAAAGATAAAAATATATGAACAAAACAAAAAAACTATAGTATTTCTCTACTTTGCTGTCTTTCTATTTGATCTCGCCATAATTTCTTTTCAAAACTAAAACAAAATGGACTTTTTTTCTTTGTATTTAGGCATGTTAAGATAAAGATAAGAACGAATGAATTTGATATTAGTCATTGTTTTTTAATATAAATTTTTATTTTTTCATCATCATCATCGTTATTATTATTTTTCTTTTTTTTTGTTTCTTTTGCTTATTTTGTTGATGATGCCCAAACACCAAACGGTGCGATGCGCGCTATACAACTAAAGAGAGAAAAGAAGAAGACACGATAGAAAAAAAAAGGGTTTCTCAAGATTTCCCTCCTTCGTTTATACTATGCGTGTGAAAGAACGATGCCGTTGCGATGCATTGAGAAGAGGAAAACGTTTCATGGCAGTAGCGACAACAGAAAGAACCGAGCGATAGGAGCGTGTAATCAAACGACACGCAGACGCATAACGGTTGGCAATTTTGTTTGAATCATACAAAAATAAGGAAAACACACACACACAACGTGTGATGGCTTATCAGCAGCAGCAGCAGCTGGACACTCGTAATATTATCGATGACTATCGAAAGTAGGTTTTTTTTGTTTTTATTTTAATTTATAAACATGTACACTTGATTGATTGTCATTTATCATTATTATTATTCTTATTCATAGATGCCATTAGTAAAAGTAGTATCGAACAATGTAGTAGTAACTATGCATGGAATGTTTATTTCGCAAACGATAGAACTAACTTATCTGACAAAAAAAAATATCGTTTTCTTTCCCATTCTTTTTTCTTCTTCTTCGCCTGTTTTGACGGGTTATGTTCGCCCAGCTGGTGTGGAGGTGGGGTGTTCGATATGATGAATAATCAATCGTTTATTTCTTATTGATTCTTCAAAATATTTTCTTCTTTTTCTCATTGAAAAAATTTGATGTTAGAGATTAATATATATATATTATTTTATTTTTAGACCAATTATGAATCCGCCCAAACCATCTAAAGATAAAGAATCACCCGGAACAAGTTCTTCCAGTCAAGTCACCTTTGTATGTTTATTAAAAAAAAGATATCATTTTTCTTTTGAACTAATTTTTTAATTTATACAGGCTGGTATTAAATCTGGAAACAAAAAAGAAGTCCGTGGCGGTCGTATTCGAGCCGAAGTTGTAAGTATATAGAGTTGTCTAAAAAAAAAGAAGAAGGATAAAAAGTTTCTTTTTTTTTGTGTCTCTCATGTCGAAAATAATGAACAAGTGATAAGCTCGAGTGTCACTAGTACAATTGACTAGTTATGTAGCTTGTGGCTCTTTTTGTCTATCATTAGGTGTAGATATGTCTCCGTCATCTTTTCTTTTTCCTTTCTCGCTAAACAGATTGCACGCATTGTAAATTTGTATTGCCTATATTAGAAAAAAAATAGAAGAAATTGTTCTATATGCGTGTTTTGAACAAGAAATATATTCTGACATAACAAAAAAATAATGATAATAGAACACATTCAATGACGCACATATATACTCTATCTGTCGTTGTTGTATTTCACCGAACTTAGATGCTTAGAAAAGAATCAGAAGGAAAATAGCAAAAGACAAATCTGTCTTAGTTTTTTTCTTCTTCTTCTTCTTCTCCTCCTTTTCTCTTTTTTTCTTCTTTGGAATGACGACAGATAGTTCTTTTTATTTCTCCCTCGGAAGTGCTAGTACTCGAGTTGTCTTCTTTCTATCTGTCTGTCGATCTGTCGGCAAAATATAGAGAGAGAGAAAGTAAAAGGAACAAAACATTCTATTTCTGTTTCTGTTATTGTTGATGTTACTAGTGCCAATCTATCGAGCAGTAATCAACTATTAAGTGTGCAGTGAGGTCATATGCCATCTGTTTTTTTAACGTTGTGCGTTTTATATCTACTAAATAATAAATTTATTCGAAAATAGAATTTGATGAATTAACGATCAAATCAATTCTATTATTATTTTATTCAATAAACAGAGACAGACTAGATATTTTTCTTCTTATTAAAATCATGTTACGTGACATACATCCGTTTAAATCATTAACATCACGTATCGCTGCGAATGCTAAACAAACCGTAAGTTAATTTTTTTTCAATTAAAAATCTATTTTGAGAATATAAAATCAGTTCGTATAGGAAAATATTCTATTTCGTACTGTGTAATAAGAAAATCAATAAAAATAATATTAGAAAAAAAAACAGGAAATATTATTGATCGTTGCAAATAATAAAGCTTAAAGAATATTTTTTTCAATATATACATAATATTTGCTTTATTACTGAATTTTAAATGAGAGACAATTTCGAATATTATTAAGATTGATGAGTTGGTGAAAATATCATTCATAATGAGTTTTATATTGAATACCCTAGACTAATAATAGATATATCTATTTATGATGGCAGCTGCCTTTGAGATGTTTATCAGTTTCTGCCTTGTCAGATCTATTATAAGCATTATCTCACAAATTGAAAGAATGTAATAAAATAGTTACATTAGATTGATTATATTATATGTATATCAAATTTTTCTTAGGATATCAATCGAGAAATTCAAAATTGTCGTGATGAACAAAGTGAACGATTTGATTTAAGTAAAAGTAGTGTTACTATCTTACCAAATACAATTAAAGATGTAAGTATTGATAAAGAACATTAATAATAATAATCATCATCTTCTTTGTTTTTTGTTTTATTATTAGTTAACACATGTTCGAGAATTATATTTATATAGTAATCGTATTCAACAATTACCACCTGAAATTGGTAATTTAGTTAATTTAAAAGTATTAGCATTAAGTGAAAATTCCTTAACAACTTTACCTGATACAATGGATCGTCTTGTTCAATTAAAAGTACTGGATTTACGACATAATCGATTCAATGATGTAAAAACAAAATTTTCATCTGTTTAATTTTTTTCTTCTAATTTTTCTAAATTTATTTAGATTCCTGAAGTTATCTATCGAATAACAAGTCTTACAACACTCTATCTACGTTTCAATCGAATTAAAGAAGTATCTGATACAATTAGAAATTTAATTGTAAGTTAAATTTAAATATTTAGAAAAATATATTTGTTGGTTTTTATTTTAAATAGAATTTACAAATGTTAAGTTTACGTGAAAATCGTATTCGTTCTTTACCAGTTACTGTTGGTCATCTTGTACAATTATTAACACTTGATGTTGCACATAATCATCTTGAACATTTACCAAATGAAATAGGTTTGAATTTTGTTTTTTGATTTATTTATTTATTGATGAATATTGTTGTTCTTGTAGGAAATTGTGCTCAGTTAACAACATTAGATCTAACTCATAATGAACTTATTGATCTGCCTGAATTAATAGGAAATCTTAAAAATCTCAGTCGATTATTGATCAGATACAATCGTCTTTCGACCATTCCACCATCTTTAGCTAATTGTTCTAAACTTGATGAATTTAATATTGAAGGAAATAATGTTTCACAATTACCGGTTTGTTTATTTTAATCTTTCAGGGAACAAAAAAAACTATGTTATGTTTTTTTGCTTTGAATAGGATGGACTTTTATCAAGTTTAGTACATCTAAATACAATCTCATTAGCAAGAAATAATTTTAATTCATTTCCATTGGGTGGTCCAACACAATTTACATCTGTACATTCAATAAATATGGAATGTAATACAATTGATAAAATTCCATTTTCAATATTTTCATTAGCAAAATATTTATCAAAATTAAATATGAGAGAAAATGCATTAACATCTTTACCATTAGATATTGGTTCTTGGACAGCATTAGTAGAACTTAATCTAGCAACTAATCAATTAACTGTTGTACCGGAAGATATAAAAAATTTACAAAATTTAGAAGTATTGATTATGTCAAATAATCAATTGAAAGTAAGTGTATATAATCTCTTACGAATGTACACGTTTTTAATCTGATTTAATAGAGAATACCTCCATCATTGGGTCACTTACGAAAATTACGACACTTAGATCTTGAAGAAAACAAACTTGATTCTCTTCCTCAGGAAATAGGTAAGTTAATTGAATTAAATATATATATATATATCAAAACACATGCATATGTAATTTAGGATATTTACGCGAATTAACTCGATTAATTGTTGCATCCAACCAATTAACTCAATTACCACGTTCCATTGGGTAAATAAATTCTATGAAATATCAAAAACATAACTTTTTTTCTTCGTATAATCATTAGATCTTTATCAAATTTAACTCATTTAAATGTTGGTGAAAATAATTTAAGTTTATTACCTGAAGATATCGGTCAATTAGAAAAACTTGAACAACTTTATATTAATGATAATCCAAATTTAGATGTACTACCTTATGAATTAGCATTATGTACTAATTTACAAATAATGAGCATTGAAAATTGTCCACTAAGGAGTTTACCACAAGAAATAGTAGCCGGCGGACCTTCTCTTGTGATACAAGTAAGAGAGATAGACATATATTTATTTTGATAATTAATTCTTTCTGTATTCTATAGTTTCTCAAAGTACAAGGACCATTCAATTTAAATTGATACAGTATTAAAACTTAAGATTTCGTTTCCTTTTTCTCTATGTGTATTAGTCAAATCGGTGTGTTTTTCTTAAACCGGTAATTGAATTTTTTCTCATTATGTTCCTTTTAACAAACATATTTGATAAAAGAAAGAAAAATGATTTATTTATGGTATATATCGCATTTGTTTCTTGTTTTTGTTTTTGCGCTAGACATTCTATTATCCTATTATTTTTTTTTCTTCTCTTTTTCTTTTGTATATACGAGTATGTGTAATCTTTTATACTCTTGACAAATGAATATGTGCGTGTGTGTGTGTGTGTGTGCAATTATTCTATATTTTTTTTTGTTTGTCTTTTTCTTTCTTTTTTGTCTCAGACGCACATTCAAAAAACATAAATATATTTGCCTTTTCGTTCGTTGTTGGTGCGTTTGCAATTGAAATCATAAATAATTTATTTTCCTGCTAAAGAGTTGAAAGTGGTACACAGTTTATGGAACAGATGAGCCACCCTAGAATGGCTTGGTGTCAAAACTATAACTGGCAATCCAGGGGCGTACCGACTCAGGAACGCGTGGGGCGTTATGGCCTTCCTTGCTTTGGAAAGTTTTAGTTTTTGTTTTGGTCAATAAAATCAAACACAAGAATTTTTACGTGTTTTTGGTGTTAGATTTAAGTAAAAAGGGTTTTATGCCTCCCTACTTTTAAAACTTGAAGTACTGAGGTTTTACGCCCCTGTTAAAATCTATTCTGCCTATCTAATAGGATATAGGATCGAATACAGCTCAGGTTTGAACTCTTCGCTATGAGTTACCCTAGAAAAAATATTTTCTCCATCCCAGAAAATCTTGAAGTAACATATCTGTGATCGGAAGACAAGGCTATAATTCTGGCTCAATGACGTCGTTGACAACATTGCAACTACTTGTTCCTGAGTTATGTTTGCCATATAGGTGACTTAGCCTTCTTGTAGCTGGTGAAATTCTCTACCGAATGGTATATAATAAGTGGGATTTTATTTGACTCTGGTAGAAAAGTTTCTTAGGAGAACCGCACTATATTATTTTCTCTAAAGAAAAAAATCATAGGGAAATATCAGTATTTTTGCAATAACACAGAGATGGCTCGATTGAGATCTTGATGAGACTGAATTGTGTAGAAAATTTCATTACAATCTGACTCTCCTTTCGAAAGTTATCGGATAAACGGACAGCCACGCTGTCTGGCTTTATATTTTCTGAATTTTCGTTGGATATGTTTGAAGAATATACTCATTTTATTTCTTTAATAATGTAACATAACATAGACAAGAAGAAGAAGAAGGGGAAAAAAATATAGTGCAAGAAAAAAAAATAATAATAAATTTTTATGTATCCATTGCTTCTTGTAATTGATTAACACTATTATTTCCATTAGTTAATGTTGATGATGTATCTGAATGATTAAAACAAGCTGAACCACCACCACCATTTGACCATGCCGTTGCCAATTGAACAAGACGTTCACGTATTTCAACAAATTTACGTTTAAATTCAATACCATCACCTTTCGATAAACGAAAATCAGCCATAATTTTTGCATCAGGAATTTTAAATACATTGACTTTAAATATTAATTCTGTATGTCGTTTATCTTGTGTAAAAACAGTTATCTATTATAAACAAAAAAATAATAGATTTTTGTTTTTTCGATAAAAATTCGTATTTACTTGATTGCCAGCTGTACGTTTAGGTGTATAACCTGTATGAACAAATAATCGATTAAGTAAATAAATTGTTTCATCAAATGATATTGCTAATACAACTCGTGTCATACGATGTACAAGATGTTCAGATGGATCTTGCTAGAAAATAAGAAAAATGCAGAAAAAGAAAATAAATAAATATTTTAACATACATCACCCATTTCAGCAAGTGATCTTGGTTCAGTTATTAATATAAGATCATCAAGTTTTATTGGTTGTGATATACAATTAACCATTGGATCATCCATAGATGTTGATGAAATAACAGTTGATGTTGTACTTTGATTTGGTTGTGTTAATGACCAACATGGTTCTTCGTATTTTACACTAAAAAATTAGAAGAAAAAAAACAGTTTTTATGCAAATATATATATATGCATAACGTACGCCATTCGTTTTAATAATTGATGATCGGATTCTGTACCATCTATTATAATCAAGATAAATTAGAAAAATATTTTTAATAAAAAAGATTTTATACCTTGTGAATAAACTTTTGACATCCATTTATGACTTTGTATATCTATAACACGAGCACGTTGTGCTGGATCATGAATAAGAATTCGACGAAGAAGATCTATATATGATTTAGTTTTTTTTCTATGAAATATATGTCAATTTATTCATACTGAGGATCATATTATCAATTTTCTTCCATGGATTATGATAATAATCACGATCTAACCAACGTTTATATTCAGGATTTTGATAAGATGGTTGATCCCATGGTAATTCTAGACAAAATTATATAGAATATTAAAAGAAAATTTCCCATTATTATTATTGATTTACCCCCAGTAAGCATAGCAGTAAGAATAATACCACAAGACCATACATCGACAGGTTCACCACGATAAGGTGTTTTGGCCCAAACCTTAACCAAAGAATAATAAGTTGTTTTTTATAACCTTGAGTAACTAGATTATCTCTTTATTTCTTTTTCAATCAGGTACTTCATACTTTACGATGCCTTTGGCAATCTATTAATCTATTTAGATTAGCTGATTATGTCATTGTATGTGTATATAATCCAAAATGCCTTTTAGCTAATATTAACCATATGAATAAGTATTCTACGTACTATAACATCACATTTGCTACGGATAACTTTCATTTAATCCTAATGAATATTGATCAAAATCAGAGCTTAAAATTATATTTACATATCATCACCATTCTATTATTAGTGATAAAAGATGCTGACAGAAAGAAGTTATAATCATAGTCAACACTATCAATAGATGTTCAAGTTTATATCAATGTCATTATAATTAATCTAATTAACTAGATCAAAATACTTGTTGACATACGAAACAAACGTTTTACCTCTGGTGATGAATAAGGTGCTGTACCACAATATGTAGTCAGTTTTCGTTCTTCTTTCGTGGTTTGACTACGAAATAATGTCGCCAGACCAAAATCACAAATTTTAAGTATATCTAATCATAAAAAACATATATAGGACAATCGTTAAGTGAATCATTATCTTACTATTATTCGCAACAAGAAGATTTTCTGGTTTAAGATCTAATAAAATAAAAATTCAAGATAAATAATTATTCGATTTATTATCAAACCTCGATGTGCCACACCAAGACTATGAAGATAAGCCTTTAAAAAAAATATTAATCATGTATTATCGCTAATCAGTTTTTATTTACCATTCCAGCTACAACTTGTTTGAAATAATGTTGTGCAAGATATTCCGGCATTCCCACATCAGGTTCTAAAAATTAAATTTTCGTTTTTTTTCATTTTTTCTGTTAAAAATTTTACCAATTTTATCAAAAAGTTCACCACCGGCTGCATATTCAAGAAAAAGATAATAATTTGAATACTGTTGTTTATAACCATAAAAACGAATAATATTTTCATGTCGAAATAATTTATGTAAATCAATCTTAAAAAAAATATTTTGTTTAATTAATTTTCTCAAAAAAACTAAATTATTTACTTCTTTTCGTATAACAACATCATTTCCTTTTAATCGATTAATATCGATAACTTTAACAGCAGCAAATTCATTTGTATTAATATTTTTTGCAAGAACAACTCTAGATAGCAGAAAATTTTATGAATAAATAAATACGAATTAATAATTTACATACTCTCCATAGGCCCCTTCACCTAACGTTTCCGTAAATTGCCACATGATGAAAAGTGACAAATTAAGAAAAAACAGATATACGTCTGATTGATTCTTTGTCTAATACGTTTACCTCGCTTTAATTTGATTGGATCTTGAAATTTTTCAAAAAAATTATATTTGACTTTATTTTCACACAAAAATAATTAGAATATCTATGAAAATAAAAAAATTATTCATTGTGATTCACATATTAAATATTACAATGAATGACCAATTAAAATTAAATCGATTGTTTCGATCTTATATGATTCAGAACGATTAAATATCATAGACGTTCTTTTCTTGTCGATAAAGAACATTGACGTTAATCAGACATGTCATCATTTTATAAAATAAAGATGAATGGATTTTATTTTATATATAACTTCATTACTATCGTACAATTATATAATACTTGAAATAGCATATTCTTGTATACTATTCATATATTTGTTATGATTTCCTTCATTTTAGCTTCTAATCTTGATTGACAGCAACATTCTGCATACTTAACGACATACGACGTCTAATACTAATAATAATACAGATCGAATAAAGTGATATGCTCGATTAAACCGAACTTCTTTCATTTGATTAATTCACTATTATAATTGTTGTATATTTAGCAAAAAAAACATTTCACACTTCTAGTATGCGATAAACACGCACATATTGATATTTATAATAAATCAAATTTACTGCATCATTTCCGGTATAGAACATCAGCATTCAATTTCCATGCAAAAAAGCTGATTAAGTCAAGATTCAATTTTGGCCTATTGCATTAATGTGACTCGTACATTTGAATTCTATGACAAATGTCGTTATTATTAAATGAAGAGAATAAAATTAAGCCTTTTATCCAATCTAAGATTTTCTTTTTTATGTAAAATAAACGTTAATATGATGCAATATAGACATAACAGTAGATCGAACGCGTTAATGATAACTTTGCAGTCTGTCATTCACAAAGTGGCAGTATTAGATTACATATTATTTTAGCAACTGTTTGTTCTAAGTATTTCTATTCGTTAATAGTTCTTTTTTTCTTCTCTATCTGATTTTTCCTCAAGGCACACTGTCTAGAAAGGCAAAGTAAAACATATGTGCTATAGTCGACTAAAAAGATAATTCCAAAGGCAAGTGCAATAGATTATTTTCAACAATGTAAATATATATGTAAGTTATGTTGTATATATTAGAAAAAAAAAGAATTTGACAGAGTGTTGAAATCAATTTATTGTTATCTTGCAGTAATAATTTCTTATTGCATGAGAATTTTATTAATATGAGTTTGATTAAATTTGTAAAAGTGAAGAGGACATTGTCACACATATGTAATCAGTGTCGGATGTTCATATATGGACAATTCTTTTCTTTTCTATTCTATGATCCTTCATTGAACAATGATTACTGGTTTATAAATGAAACTAGAAGGAAGAAGGCGAAGGAAAAAAATGGACTAAAAGCTATATTCATCAATGAGAATACAAGAGAAAAAAGAACGAGGAGAAAAGAGAAGGAGAAAGAAACGAATGAACTTGGTATTCATCACTACTATTCATATTCCGACTAACAGTTGTGTCAACGGAAAAGTACCGCCTGCAGATTGATCGATTGTGTATATGCTTATTCTATATTCTTTTCAATTGATTCCGTTTTTTTACACTTAATTCCATACATTTCTATACACACAGAGAAGCAAAAAAAAAAGAATTCAAAACGAAACGATGCAATTATTCTCAATAGATATTCATCTATATCAATTAATTATTTATTTATTAATAAGTTATACTGAAAATCGACAAGTATTATATGATAATTTCAAACAACACAGTTAGTAATTTTTTTTTGTTGTTGACAATAATATTTTACAATCTATAAATTAGGTGATTTATTTCTTTGTCCATATTATCTATTTCGTTGTGATACAACACGTTGTTTACCTTATGCATTTGTTTGTAATGGAGAATACAATTGTCATGATAGAACAGATGAAAGTAACTGTTCAACAGCATTAATTGATAATAATCTATGTCCTACAAGTTATTCGATTAATTGTGAACAGGATATATTACATGGTACACATTGGAATGAACATGATAATCATCATGAATATACACGACCAATACAAATCTGTATTAAACGGTAAACTAACATGCAAC